AGCAATTTTTGCACATCTTTACAAGTAACAAATCTATTTCCAGAGAAAACTTAACAATTTTAAATTCAAAACATTTTATTTCTACATCAATACTTATTTGTTTTTTTTTTTCATTCTTTGCAGTGCGAAGCAGCCGAGATTCCCCAAAGGATACTCGCAAATGCTCACCTGAATTAAAAGCACGTCCCACGGCGAGTGCGACAGCACGAGAACAACAAACGCAAAGAAATCAGCAGGAGCAACAACAACAACAACAACAACTACAACAAATTAAAGCCAAAGAAATGCAACAGCAAGATAAAAAGAAGAAGGTCAAAACTGCTGCTGGTAGCCAAAAGAATGTGACGAATGGAAAAGTTGCTGCAAAGGAATGCACAGCAACAGCAACAGCAGCGATAGGCGAAGAAGTACAACAAGTAAACAGCACGACTGACAATAGCAACAGCAGTAAACAGGCAGATGGCAGGAAGAATTCGCAAAAGATTGCGGGAGCTATAGGTGGCAATTTGTTGCATGGCTGCCACTGGCAATGGCGGCGAAGTCGAACGCGTGTGAACAAGGAAGAACAGCAACAACAACAACAACAACAACAGTCAAGCGAACTACTACAAGTTTATAAAGACTACGCAGATGAGCAATTGTCCATTTCGGTGTCCAAGGCGGCACCGCACACGACGAGGATGACAAATGTCAGCAGTTGAATAGTTGTAGAACTCGTTGCTTGGAATGGGGGCGGGATGCATTGGGGATATTGCATGGCGTAGGGTGCGCTCGTTCGTACGTGGCAGTAGCTGCTGGCCAGTTGTTAGTTGTTAGTTGATTGTGAGTGGCATTGTGTGTGTGACGGAAGGAAATGCGTTGGTCAACAATGTCCTCGTTAAACTTAAGTTGAAGTCAAGTAAGAAATCAGTAGATAACATAAAATAAGGTGGGAAAGTCACGAAATGTTTGGTAACAAAAAAAAAAACACACTTTCATACATGCATAGGTATGTATGTATGTATGCACGTAGTTATAAGAGCAACAATTTGTGCGCAAAAATAAAAAAAAATTAAATCGAAATCGACAGAGCAATGCTGGCAAAAATGTGAAGCTGCAAGCAAAAAAATAACGTCTTGTAAAAGATAACTGTCGCAACAACAGCAGCAACATTTATAATGCTCAGATTAGCAATTGTTGCTGCTGCTGTTGGTACTTATGTATGTATGTATGTAGGTATTAGCTCAGTAGAGGCGCGGCGGCGTGTTGTGTTGCCGCTAGCTACTGCTAGGGGATTAGCAACAATATCAAAATTATCATTGCTCAACTGGGAAATCATGTAGCATTCGGAACGTGCAACATTCTGCACACGAAGTGTGGCAACAACAAGCAAGTAGAACAAATAAGTTCTGTTGCACAGAAAGAGTTTAAACAGGCAGCAAAAAGAAAAAAAAAATCAACTGGTAAATATTTACAACAAAGAGCATGCAGTAGCGATGAGTTACATACATATGTGTGCTACAAACAAACAACATACTGTATAAGTAAAACTGCTATCAAAATGTTGGCTAATAAGTGAGCTAATAACCTTAGGTGCACAGTATAGGAAAATTTTTAAGATTTGACTGCACAGCACAGAACAGGCAAGCAGATTGCGTTGAGATGACTGGGAGTTAGATATTTTTCGCTTTAATCAGCACTGCAAAGACCTGGCCTGGAACTGATATACATATATATTCCGAAGCAGTTTAGGGGAAAGTAAGGCTCTCCCTGACCAATTTTGTGTGCATCATTATTGGGTTCAGCGCCAGAATTTTAGAGTATCCGGATTACCTACTACATTACCTACTATTTTGGTCCGTATATCTGCTGCTTCTTAAAGAACCGCCGCTTCTACCTTAAAAACATTAGAACAGTCTGGACGTCTAAGCTCAACATTGATGGCGATCTCTTGACCACCATCACTTTCCTTAAGCTTACCCGTGAAAAAGTTTACTGCTCCCTCACGCTATTTAGTCATCTTGCTCTACACTATCAGCCTTTGAGGAAATGTGTGGTGAGAAAATAATAAAGGTCAAAATCTGGGCCAACAAAAATTTTAGAATGTCTGTTGGCATTGTATTCAGCATGGCGATTAGCACCAAAAGTGAATTTCTCTGCAATGTAACGCTTGTAACGCTACCGATCTAGTTTTTAAATCTGTGAAAAATTTTCAGACAAACACCACTTATTGAGGTAGGAGTTGAGCATTTCCTGCTTTTCGGCTTTTTCATTTGTTAAATGTGATTTTTTTTTAACTTTAAAGACGCAAATATATTTAGGTCGTTTCGTATGTATACTACGGCGTATACGTTACTATCATGCTTGGTACATAGTACATATGTACATATCTAAATAGTAGATATCATGTGCTTCATAGTGCATATCATTGTGAAGTTTTAATTATTTGGTATTTGCGAGCTTTGAGGCTTATTTCTATACACAGTTGTTTATTGATTGCATTTTATTGACTTTAGAAATTTTCAATTTTTAAATTAGAGTGGCTTATATATGCGCCAGCAAGAGTTTGAATCCATACACTTGGATACATATAAGACTCATACATTGATATATAATTTCACGTAATAAACAAAACTCAGTATAAACAAATATATTTTTATGTTTAAGCATGACACGAATATTTGTAAAATTTATAGAAAAGTTGCAATTATACTTGTATGTACATAGGCATGTAAGTGAAATAAAAGATAGTAAATTATAAAAAATATCTTGCATTAAAAATGGATTATAAAGCGTAAGTATTCTCCTTAAGTTTTAAGTCTGAAAGCAATAAAATCAATGTTTTTAAACACGGATGGAAAATACTTATTACCTTTTAAATTTTAACCAAAAAATCAACGAGCTGTAATCATCGTAAACCAATTTTAGCTATGCTCACGTATTTGTGTTCATACGTTCTACTGTAATTTACAATCATTTTTATTTTTCGAGTTTATCCAATAAAGATTAAAGATACTAATTAATATTTGAGTTTTAGTTTCTCGCTCAGAGGAAATTATTATTACCTGATTTTTATTTATTTATTTATTTTTTGATGAAAAATAATAGTTATAATTTTTTCGCCCAAAGACAATATTTATAATTGAGTTTTTTTTTTGAGAATAACAATTATTCAAAAACTCAAAAGCTATACCAATGTGATTTCCGTCGATACATTTTCAAAAGTAATTACAGCTTTATAAAGCGAATAAGTCCCAACATTTTCAGGTCAAAATTTCAGTTGGTTTAGTCTGTACGACCTTTTTAATTTTGTAGCTAATCATTGTTTTTAAGTGGAAGAATAACACCCAATAATAAATATAATCTCTGAGCGAAAAAAAAATAAAAATCATAAAATAATGATTCAATGCTGATTGAAATTATTTTACTCATAATTATTACCATAGCTTTTAAATGACGGTAGTGCTTGCGCTGCACAGTGGGTCAAAACTGGCATTTGATGTTCAAAATTCACGGGAGATTTCATTTTTCAGTCAATTTGATTATTATTTTTTAATGAAAGCTAATAAAATTTGCAGGAGACTAGTTGAGCCTGATTTTTGAATTTTCGTTTGTTTGTTTTAAATTTTTTAGTGCAAAGTACAGAAAAAGTATCAATTTTGAAGAAAATCAATTCTCCTGTTCCAGTATTGCGTCGTAATTAAGACGCGGAGTCATGTTGACTTTATCACCTACAATTTTCATGCCTAATGAGTAATGTCCGAAGGTTCTTTGCCTACCGCCGCGGCCAACTTAACAGCTTAGAGATACCCTAACTAGAGGTAAATTGGTGGTAAGTTGAATATTTTTTCTACAGCATCCGCCCATTTGCGCTGTATTGGTAAGCTTGCCTCTTTGGTAAGCTTGACCTTACTCTGCAGCACTCTTTTTTTCCGCAGCCTAGTAGGTTTTTTATTCACCAGCAAAGAGCGGGTTCTCCATTGCTGGAATGTAAATAATTATTGACTGACGACATTCACCCGCCTTTCAATTTATGTATGTAAAGGGTGTTCTTTTAGACACGTGGTTTTCAAGAAGAAATAAAACGCATATAGTTTAATGTTATGGCCAAGAATTTAGCTTTATTATAAAGATAAGGGTTTGCCATTATGTCTTAAAAATGATTTCGGGAAAGTGACCGCCGCGGCCGGATCGAATAAATTCCAGCCGAGAGGCCCAATTTTCGACCACTTTTTGCAGCAATTGGGTCCGTATGTCAGCAATAACGCGCCGAATATTCTCTTCCAAGGCGTCGATCGTCTCGAGCTTATCTGCGTAGACAAGGGACTTAAAATAACCCCACAAAAGATAGTCCCGCGGTGTTAAATCGCACCGCACGGTCCTGGAGGTCACACCACAGGGCCTCGACGCGAGATAATGCGCTCACCAAAAGTTTCCTTAAATAAATCAATTGTTTCGTTGGCTTTATGGCATGTAGCGCCGTCTCTTTGGAACCAAAGGTCGTCCACATTAACATCCTCCAATTCAAGCACGAAGAAGTCATTAATCATGGCCGGATTCATTTTTGAAGAAATATTGACCAGTGATTCCCTCTTCTCATAGAGCACACCAAACAGTCACTCTTTGAGGATGGAACGGCGTCTTAATAATGGCTTGTGGATTATCAGCACTCTAAATGTGACAATTATTTTTATTAACGTACCCATTCAACCAAAAGTGAGCTTCATCGCTGAACAAAACTTTCTAGTGAAAATCCGGATCGGTGGCTATCTCGTTATGGGCCCATTCACCGAACGTGCGACGCGGTTTCAATTCTTCCTTACGCAAAATCTTCCATAAAGTGGATGGAGGGCACAGCTCCAATTGTTGCGCGCGATAGCGGATGGACTCATTCCGGTCTTCTTCGATACTCTGCTCCACAGCAGCAATAGCGTCTTCGGTGCGCACCGTACGGCATCTCTGGGGACGCGCATTATCCATTAGAGTAAGCTTGGTGCGAAAACGATCCATGGTTGCTCGAATTACCGACTCTGCTGGGCGAATATTGAACGCAGCGCGCGTTGCGTCGCGAGAACCGAACCATTATTTTGGTAATAGATTTGCACGATTTGCAAACGTTGTTCCGGAAATGGCAAACCAAACTGAGTATAAATCAAGTAACAGCTGTCAAGAAGGCCAACTACGAAAAAGTATTGTAACTTGTTTTTGGAAAAGTGAAGAAAATTAAGGTTTTGGTTAACTCGGATAGAAGTGCTTAAAGGGTTATTTTTTTAAGAATTCGAAGATAGAAAGTGCAACAGAAGCAAGGAACTAGCAGTCCTCTGATTCTCCAAACTGAGTTACTTGATTCTGACCTATCAAAGGAGAGAAGTTGTTCAACCATTTTACGTACAATTGCCGATCATCGTTTGACTGACTCAGATGGCCTTAAATTCTGAAAAAGTCGTTTCGACTTTATCGCAGCCACAATCATTACTAGAAATACACAACCGTTTAAGTAATGAAATACATTTGTTAAAACGTGTAGCTGACATCTTTGAAAATGCCAAGAGTTATTGTGAATATTTTTGAAATCCAATGCTATGGCAGAAAAACGGAAAGGTCGTACATACACACATTAAAGACAAGCAAGAAAGAGTACATAAAAGAAGGAAATAGCAAAAATGCAGAAATGCTTTTGTGATTTTTCGAGAGATGCGAAATGTTAAAAGAAAACTTCGAAAAATGAAAGTAATGAAAATAAGTAAATATTTAAGTGCAGTATTTTCACGATTGCCACAACAAATTGGCGTCTTGGTTTCCGTTCAAGTGCCTGTCATGCAATTCGTTGACTGGCGGCTGGTTGTTTCTGTTGCTGCACTTTTTGCTGCTTATTTTCGATGTGACAGTTAGGTGGAAGTGCCACTGGGCGATTGTGCTAAGCATAAAAGTACATACATATGTACGTATGTAGTATGCATCTCTGTTTGCACTGCTTTAAGAAAACCAATAACGCCTAGCAACTACACAGAAGTGAAATTAAAACGCTTGGGCGTTTTGTCTGGAACTGTAGGAGAGATACATAGATTAAAATGTTCAAATGTACGTAAGCCAAGAAAAAGCCAATTCGTATTTTGTTGTTTTTTTTTTTGGCCGGCAATCGAGGTAATTGAGAGGAAAAGTGAAATAAATTGACAGTTGAAATGGTATGGAATTTACAGAATTTTATTTTTATACAAAAACCAGCTAGAGCTTTGCTTTCATTACAAATATTCGCTTGCATGTGTTTGTGTGAAAGATGCCAATGAGAAATTCTATAAAAAGCTTGCTGTAAGAACACTTTCATATAGCTATAGCAATTTGAAACTTCACTCAGCTCGGGAAAAAAAATATTTGAATGGCTCTTTTTACTTTTTATTCTATGGTTAAGTAGATCTCCTAATGGACTTCCCAAAAAGTAGTAGAAATGTATTTATAGAAATACTCAAACTCAATTGATACTCGAATTTTCACAACATTTAACCACAATCGAAATATACTTAAATATTTTAAGAAATTGAACTTTAACATTGACAAATTTTTAACTTTTAAGTACTTGGTGCAACGCCAAACAAAATCATTTCGCACGGGTACGTAGGCGAAAGTAAAATAAAGACAAAAGCAGTATACGACGATGGAGATGTCAAGCAAATTATTTTGTGGCAAATTGACACTTTTAATGTCTCCAATTGAAATTTCGAGCAGTAATTTATTTGTAGCCCAGAAAAAAAGATATCGGAATTGGGTCAGTGTAGTAACTGCATATGTACATAAATAATAAATCGATAAGTAAAATGAAGTGCTGTGCG